TTATTTTAATGAAATTCGATTAGTGGTGTAGGGGTGTAAATCCGCCACTGTTGCTGTGTTGCTGATGATTTTGATAACAATCTTTCATAAAGTAGATAACATCAGAATTAGTACAAAAAAAAAACAAAAAAAACTTTAATATTTATTTGTGCTTAAATTATGATGACTGTTAATTTAACAGTTATGTCCGGTATGGAACAAAGCATAAAATATGTGTTGTTTGAGGTCAGTACTCAAATGTGGTTGACGTTTTGTGACGGACCAATCTCATTACATATCCAAAAGGAGTTATGTGACTGGATAATATTTTCTTTTGTTTATATGCGGATGAATAGGTGTGAGGTGCATAAAGTTGAGTTCATTGGTTCTTAATATTTCGACGCATGCCACTTCCGGGTTTTACAGATGATGCAGATGTGTAAGAAGATGTAGTTTTTGTTTTTTTTTGTTTTTCTTTTTAATGTGTCATTGTTGTTTCGACGCATAAATGTCCTGGTTTTACAGACGATATCACCAGCAGCGTGACCGATAAAAATAAATTTAATTTTTTTTATGCTATGTCTCTTGTCTTCACATATAAGCGATCCTGCCTCTCCACAAAATGCTCCTCTTTATGATCTGCAATTTGCCAGAACTGATTGTAAAAGGTATTGGTGCATTTTGTCGTTATCTTCTTCACGGCTTTAAATTCTGAGTTGTCCTTCTCCTAGACGGGTTTCCATCCACGTCTACAGACCGCAGTCTACCCTGCTATTTAACCTATAGTTCGGGTGAGAATAGAGAAAAAAATAGATTCACGCCTTTCCTAATTGCATAAATGTAAGGTAAACATTAGACTACTCCAGAACGAAAGGATTTTTTTATTTGGTAAAAAAAAAAAAAACGCTACGGAAAAAATTATAGTTCAAACAAATGTTTGAGGTAACATTTAATTTTACAAGGCAAGGGCATATAACAGACAGACGACACAAAGCCGAGTTTAGAAAAAAAAAACACACACACACAGACGATAAATTTACTAACACTAAAAAAATGTAAGAATCACACAAATTAAGTACTTTGTGAGCCAAATGATAGCCAATAACATGTATGTACAAATAAATAACGCCAAATAAAATATGCCTCTTTTAGTCTTTTACAATAAAAATTACTAAGCTGCATAAGGTCCGCAGAAAAGGTAAACAATATGAAAATAAATATAGAAAGGGGAAAATACTTCTCTGAATGATTTTCAAAGAATAGATATAATGTTCGAAGCAAAGTTCGTGGTAACTGCGAATAACAGAACAGTTTCACCTGACGAAGAATTTTTTTTTGATGTCGAAGCGACATTGATGTCCTTTTCAAATTCTCGTTTTGTGGTTATCAAATTTCTTATGTATTGTTTTTCCTTGACCTAGGTTCATACTGCAGTCTGTTCATCAAATTCAATTCTGCTTCGGTTTTTATTCACCAAAGTAGTTACCTTTACCTTTTCTGGTTACAGCAGGGAATCACATATCGCAGACAGAATGTTACGTCCACAACAGGGGCAACAGGGATTGCATCACAAAGTAGTCAATAAAAAATGACGAAATACTGCCACGAATAAAATGTTATGTAATGAAGGTTCAAATCTCGTGACACTTGGTCGGTACCCACACTTCATTACAATATCAATAAATGCGGAATAATTTCCATGATCGCCTACATCCTGAAGGGGCATGGTATAGAGAACAAACTGTAAATCTCAGAAAAAAAATGACATGTACATTTCAATTTGGCGAAAAAGAAAAAATAACTTCCTATAACTGAAAACTTATTTAACATTAATAATGAGTATAATTGTCAAGTCATTCTACTAGCAACTAGTATTACTGGTACCATGTAACCCAACACTAACTGCTGCATACTCGGATCATCAGCAGTTAAACCGATTCCCCCACTACGTTTTTTTTTTTTTTTTAGTGAGGAAGGTGACTAGATATCCAGTTAAAAATAAGACCTGTCAAAGGCAAAGGTCAGATGAATCTTCTTGTAGAGTCAACGGCCATCTAGCACAATGAGGTAGACTGGGCTCTGTTTCTAGGTTTACTGCCAGTGCGATGGTGGAGGGTTCCCTAGATAGAGTGTTCCTCCGATGGAATCAATAGCCACGTATCCGTGACACAGATGAACCTTCAAATTGGAGGATACCGACAGTAGTTTTTACTTGAAGAGAGGTGGGTTCCGTCAGATCTACTCGTCGAAGATATGCTAGGCATGAATAGATACCTCTATAGATTTCAAACCATATATGTGGAGTGAACTGTTCAGGTGCTCAAATTAGGATGCGACTCTAAGACTACACTCCGTCATGGGACTGACTGACGACGACGACGACGATAATGATGATGATGATGATTTCGTAATGTAAATGTGTCATTATTCACTAAAAGTTTCCATTTGTTTTCAACTTCATCTTTTATGCGTCATGTCTTTTTACGTTTTTTGTTGCTCTAAATAATGTTTGACTCTTTCTTTGCCTACTTGTCCAGTCGCTCAAACTCATTAAGTAGGTTCACTCGCTGTCTCCCCTGTTAATCTTGCCTTCGGTATGTCCTGTTATTATAACCCTTCTTTACTAATTGTATCAGAAATTACACCTTTCTTTTTCAGATTGTAAGTTTCAGTTTCTTTGTAGTTTCTATTCTTAAAATTTCCACATGGCCCAGTCAATCGAATCCCAGCTCAGTTGCTTCAAATTGTCAAGTCTGTTCTCCATCTGTGGGGAGATTTTCCACCATTCACTAACATACAGGAGATTAGATATTACATAGTAGTTCAGCACCCTCTTCTTTGTTTCTTATGGCATTTCCCTATCTAAATTAATTTAATACTTTGTTTAACTTCTAGAAGGCATCTTTCGCTCTTCTAATACGGAATGGGCCTCTTTCGCTATTCTAATATAGAATTGGACTCTAGTAAAAATGTTGACTGATTCATCATCATTTAAAGGTAGAAATTTAAGAAGTTTTAAAACTGTAACTGTATTGAAAATCATCATTTACAACAATTATTTATACCATAATGCTTCAGAATATATCAACCGGGAATGGAAAAAAATTTTTTTTCATAAGAACTAAATAAAATTACAGTTTTCAGCGATTAACAGAATGCTTCTATTTTTTTTTTAATAAAGTTAGTTTTAAAGCTTTTTAATTTTTAAGTTCTACCTTTGAGTGATAATGAATCAATTAGCATTTATTTCTTAGTCCTAAATATGGCGCCCAAACGGCTACGCCAAAAGTTTGCAAGCCGATTTCAATGTGCCTTCGGATTTCGGTGTCACATTTTAGTTGTCTGTTAGTACACTACCAGGATAATTAAATGTCCGTACATGCTTTATTTTGACGTCCACTTTTCATAGCTCACCACGAACACTGTCTCTTTTGCAGACGACCAGACATTTTGTCTTCTTCGTTATTTTAATATAATTCATTTTTTTTTATTTTGGCTGGCTGGCTGGCGCAGGAAAAATAACCTACTTTAAAATTAAACGTAATTTATATTTTATAGAGACACGATTAAAATTCTAATATTTTAATGTCCATTAATTAAAAATAGAAATCTTAAAAAGAAGCAAACAGACTCATATTTCTGTTTCATAGTAGATTTTCTTTTGTGCGTCGCGTCCTTCAGCAGATGGGCGAACATGACTCTTCATAACTATCTTTCGTAGTTCCAAGCAATGTGTGTCCCCGTACTGATCCTTGCTCTGCCAGGTAGGTTATTCGCTGTTTTCCCCTAACCATGCCTTCAATTCAGCTATGAGTGTTGACTTCTCCAAGTCCTCTTTCCTCAGTAGGTGCTCTAGAAATGTCATGGCTGACCATAAGCAAGTGTCCTTTTCGTTACCATTTTCCTTAAAACTTCCCAGTTTTTTACATGTCATCTCCGTGGTATTCTCAGTATCCTTCTGTAGAACCACATATACTGCCTCAAGTGCAAGACTCTTCTTCATCTGCGAGGAAATTGTCCAGCATTCACTGCCAGATAGGATTCATATTTATTTGCATAGTAGTTGAGCACTTTTTCTTTATTTCTAACGAAATTATGTTTCTTTACTTTGAGTCTTTAATTAACGTCTCTTTCGTTATTTCGATGCACCTGTGTATTTTTTTGTCACGTTTTCCTTCGTCTGTTGATATTGAATATATTCCCAGACAATTCTCTATTTCCTTGATTTTATCTCGAAAAATCCAATTCGTATCTTACATCTTGGGCTTGGAGTATATAGTTTGCTGTGTAAAGTATTAAAAAATATTTAAATAAAATATTTAGAGTATGTGTACCCCGCACGTGAAACTAAAAACATCGCACTTATTTATTTATTTTTTTAACAATAATATCATCAAAAAGTCATGAGATCAGATATCACGAGACAACAGAAAAATACTTAAGCGTTATATAAACAATGCTGAGTAATGAAACGGTGCAGGCTTACTAAGTTCCTTGTGTTATGAAGCACGTGACATTTTCCCATCTGTCACCGGTTATGTGTGCATAGCAGTTTAACCTCCAATGTGATTAACGAGGAATGTATTCGAGTTAATTAGTGATGAATTTCCTGTTCAGTAATTTACTGCAACCAACTACGTGAATTTTTATATCACCACTGGAAAGCCTCAACGATGAAAGCTACCAAATTATCTTACTACAGCGATCAACTTATTTTTTCACGATTGGTGCCAACTATTGTCTTGTTACACTTCTTGACCAGTGTACTTTCCCAGACTAATAAAGCTGACTTTCATATAAATTCTGGTTCGGAATACAATTCCACTAGTATCTCGAATGAGCGGAATGTCCGAAAATTGAGAGAAAATAATTATGATGATTTACAAGAAAGTCCACTTCCAGAACCAATACACCATCCTTGTGACGAACTCTTAAATGAAACCAGTGAAGCCTTTGGCGATTTTTATAAATGTTCGATACATCATGCTCGTCCCTATCGATTTTGTGAGAAATGTTCCCAAATGTACATAAAAGCAAGCAGTGTTTATAAAAACATACAATCTACTGTAAGTAAAAACTAAAAAGAAACGTATTATTTTTATATATTTTTTTTTTATTTCATTTTTACTTTTTTCTTAGAGCATATTGCCCTATATGAACTGAAATGCTTTTTTTTTTTTTAAATGGAGACAAAAATTAAAAGGACGGTTCCCGATTTAATTACTATTTTTCGCTTGTTTTGGGGGGGTTTTATTTTTTTTTTTTTTTTTTTTTTAGGTAAGTGTTGTAAACTAAACAAGTACAACAATATATTTAAATTCTAGGAAGTGTTTTTTAAGGGCGGAAAATGCAACACCGAAAAATCGCATTTGGATAACGAAAGATGCCCTTACCCAAAAAAGCTAAGCAAAGAAACATGAAAATTTCTATAGAAACAAAGAAAAATACTGAATTGTTCTGTTATATAATCAGTTCTCCTGTAGTGGCAGTGAATGCTAAACCATCTCCGCCGAGTGAAGAAGAAACTTTAGGTTGAGGCGATAGAAATGTCATTCTACAGAAAAGTATACTGAGAACAGTGAATAAGAACGGAGTTTTAGAAAAAATTAAAACAAAAAGGACACTTAGCTGAAATTTCTTAGGGCACATAATGAGGAAAGAGGGCTTGGAAAATTTCTCTCACAGGACATTGAAGGACAGACGAAACATCACATAACCTAACGAGCTTGTCTAGTAAACACTACGGGGTTTAGGAAAAATAACAAAAACAAATTTACTAAAGCTACATTAAAGACATATTGTGGAGAGCCATGATCGTCAACGTCCTGATGGGTCACGTTACATTTAAAGACGGCCTATAAAACATTTCTGAAGGTGTGAAAAAATTCAAAAAGTGTTTTTCTTTACTTTGATATATTTTTTTATCGCATTTAATATTTCTTCGAATTTTATAAAAGAATACAAAATGTGGGATTGTAACTACAATTTTCTTTATACAATAACGTGTGATTTTTTTATTTTCTTTTTTAAATTTAACTTTGGATTTCTCATCGAAAAATAGAATTTTAAAATTAGTGCATTAATTTATAATTGGTTTTACTTTTAATGTAGTAATTTTTGAAAATCAATCATTCCTTAATGTCCTTTAAAAAAATGAAATGAATAATGGATCATCATGAAGAACGAATCCCTTTTTTCTTAATCAGGAATATTCATTTTCATGGTTTATTGAATTCATTTGTACTGTAGGAAATCGTTGAATACTTTTCGATTCCATTTTTATTTTGCTTCCTTTATTTTTTAGAATTCGTTCCCCGGAAATGTATCATTTTTATAGATAATTTTAATTTCAATTACTTTTTTTCATTTTTGTTTGAGGGTCTCTTTCATTAGCGTTTAAAACTTTTTGTTTATTTCTTTTTGGCATTAGAAATGTTAAATTACTTTTCTTAAATTATTTTACGTGGCTTATGGTACATAAAGTAAAAAAGTTTAGTTGAAATATAAATTATATTGCATTTATTTAAACGTTAACATGTAATTGTAAAATGATTACAATGATTACATGTTATTTCTGACGCAATATCCAAAAAAAGACGGTACGTCTGATACTTTAAATTTAATATAAATTCTTATTACTTTTTGAATTGAATTTTTTTCTGTTATGGAAAATGTGCGTTCAAAATATGAGGTTACTTCTCGGTATTATTTGGCTAAAAAATGTGAAACCCACAACCTTTCAGACGTTACGCTTCTAGGAAAAAATTTTAAATCGTGACCCAACATTGATACATATCAATTTTCTTGATTTATTTTTCATTTCAACAATTCATTTCCTAGTTGTAAAACTAAAAATAGATAAATAAATAAATAAAAATAGTAATATGAAAACATTTACTTACCGAGAATTCGTCCCATAAAAAATGTGTCAAACTGGTTTTGACATCAATCGGTGAGAAACATTTTATTTTATCAAAAATAAAACTAAAAACTTGAATAATGTTTTTTCAAAATGCCTTGCATGCATCTTTAACCCGCGTTAGACCAAGGAATCCGCAATCAATTTAACTGGCGTGAATCCTTAACCTTTCTTTCTAGTAAGTACTAAAGACTAGTAAAAAGTTAAATGAAAATTTTTATTTTCTTTTCTAAAAAAAAAGTACCTCCACGAAAACGCGAAAAAAATCAGCATACCGTGATGAAAATAATCAAACTCAAACAATGGAAACACTTTTAAAATCGTTATGTTATTAATTTAAGAGGATCAAAGTATTTTTGAGTATTTAATTAAATTTTTTGCTCCTTTTTAGAACATTCGAAATTTTTATTTAAAAAAAGCTTGTTTTTCTTGCGTCAGTGGTTGTAAACAAGCATAGCAAATTTTGGCCCCCTTTTTACTTTTTTTTTTTTTTTTTCGGTGACAGACACATTATTAATTCGGAAATTCTTGCAAAAATCAAATTGTCAGATTTTAATGAAATTTTCAGAAATGAATGAAAAATTATGTTTGGATTTTTTTTTATTAGAAAATCTTGGTAAAAATATTTTTTACATGTTTCAGCCCATTGCTTAATTTTAAAAACTTGAGAAATTCAGCGTGATAATTTTTACTTAGTGACCATATTCCGAATTTTTTTTTTGTTTGTGTTTTTTTTTTTGTTTTTTTTTTTTTTTGCAAAATCGGACCCTGTCTTACCGAAAACCTCTTCTGAATCGAAAAAAAAAAACGCAATAAAACCAAGACATTATTTTTTTTTTTTTTTTTTTAAATAATTTATAAAAATTTTAAATCATAAAATTCATTTTCAGTCAGATAATTCTAAGGAAATATTGTTATTGTTATCAATATAATTTCAGTTTCAAATACATCACTGAGTATTTTACTTACTGGAAATAGTAAATAAATTCTTTAGCTTTCAACAATTAAAAGCTAAAAAGAAAGCTTTTGCATTTTTAAAAATCATTTTAAACCTTACGTATATTGAATTAGTGGAGGTACCTATAAGTGGAAAAACCAAAATATTTTTTGATTATTTTATTAAATTTTTTAATCCTTTTTAGCATGTTCGAAATTTTGGCTAAAAATCTTATTTTTCTTGCAAAAATGGTGGGCCAAAGTAAAGATTAGTATTTTATTTAGGAAATTTAGCATCTTTTTTGCAGTAAAAAACACATTGTTTTGGAAATTCTTTCTGAAATAACATAATTGTCGTATATGAAGGAGATTATTTTTTTTATTTTTTTTGTTTTTTAGAAAATTTTGGTAAAAAGATATATATTTTTTTGATCTGTTAAACTTACTTAATTTTATGAAATTTTGAGAAGTTAAAATTCCAGCCTCTTCAATTAATTTATATTATTAATTAAAAACAGGACTCCCTAGAGAATTTAACATCAATTAGTTTTTCGTCAAACCAAAAACCATTTACTGAAAAATCTGCTCTGAATTGTAAAATAAAAAATGCAATAAAAAAAAAAATGACATTATTTAATTAGAAAGCTTTTTCAAGAATTGTTTTCATTTTTAAAAATTTAATTAGAATAATTTATTCAGTTTTAAATCTTTTAAAGTTCTGTATTAATTTCACCCTTTTAGATAATATTAAGTAAAAACCATATTTAGTAATCATAAGTGGAAAAGCTTGCCTTAGTACAAATCATCAAACACCAATATTTAAAAATATTTGTATAAACGGTCACCTATGTACATTATTAGTATATACAAGAGTAATAGCTGCAGTAAATTTTAAGCTAGAAAGTATATAAAATCAATAAAACATTAGATTACAGAGAATATTTTCTTAAATTTCTAAGATTACTGACTACTTAAAAATTATACATGTTATAGTTAAATAATTTTTGATGGCTAAAATCCCCATAAACAAACATCAATATCTGTCATACATATCAACAGCTTAATTATACTTTAAATCAGCTAAATATTCTTCAAATAAAGATTCAGAAAAGTATATGTTTTTGGAAGATTTTTTTAATACAGAGGACACTAATCAGCTATTTTAGCAAAAAATAGAAGTCAATTTAAATTAGTTTGAAATACAGCAAAATATTTTGCTTATTGAAAATATTAAATTTAAGCTAAAATAAAAGCTTCAAGAAAGATTTTTTATTTTTAAAAATCATTTCACACCTTAGGTATCACATCTTTTGTGGTGGTACCTACACAACAGTATCAGAAAATAAGAGTGGTAACTATAGTAAATTGAAAATTTATTGGTAATTTTCTAACATTTCCTCAATAAGCTTCTTCATAAGATTGTAATGCCAAAGTGCCTAAAATTCAACAAAGTAATAGATTACTTAGAATATTTTCCTACATTTTTAAGGTTACTGGGTAGTTTAAAAAAATTATACAAAAAAGGCATTCACTTTATATTTGTCAAGTAATTTTTACAGTTATGTTTCCCATAGAAATATTTCCCAAATATAAGTCTACTGAAAGAGTTTTCAACACCTCATAAAAAACCCACTTCTCCATTAAAAAATGCTTTTCTGTGATATTTTAAACTTTGAATATGCTAATCTTTCATAAATAAAATTTCAGAAAAGTATATTTTCTTTTTAAAAGATTTTTTAATAAAGAGAATCATGTTGGGTTGACAAATTTGCCAATATGGCTGATTTTTTTGTAATTTTAACAATTTAAAAAAATCCACTCAATTTAAATTTGCTTATTAGAAATATTAAATTTAATCCATTAACTTGAAATTAAAACTAAAATAAAATCTTCAAGAAAGATTTTTCAAAATGGAAACCTTAGGTATTGTTATTCTTTGGGGGTACTTATGTAAAACAGTGTAGATATAGGCTACAACCACAAGATTGGCATCTTTTTCATTTTCAAAAATGACTTTGTCCTTATATCTCATCAGGAGTTGGGTAAACATGCTTCTTGACAACATCTTGTCCTTAAGCAACATTTTCTACCATGACTATTTCTCCCTCCTCTGCTATACATTCACACACGCTCATTAGATAGGTTACTCACTGTTTCCTCTGTCATTCTTGCCTTCAGTAAGTCCTGTGAGTGTCAAAGTTTACAAAGTCTCTTTCCTTATGTCTTTCAGAAATTTCAAATGTCTCCTTCTGATTTTAAGCATAGGTGTCCATAAAATTTCCATGTTCAGTCTTTGGTATTCTCAGCATCCTTTTGTAGAACCACATTATTGTTTTGAGTCTTTATTTTATCTGTAAAATTGTTCCACATTCACTGTAATATAGATTAGATGTTACATAACAGTTCAGCACTTTTTTTCTTTGTTTCTAATGATATTTTCCTAATTCTTGATAAAATACTTTTCTTAGTTTCTAGAAAGCCTCTTTTGCTATTTTATGCACTTTCAGATTTCTCTGTCCTCACTTTCCGTTGTCTGTTACTACACTCCCCAGCTTTTTGTACTTGCTTGATTTTGATGTACCCAATATATAGTTCACATCTTGGGCTATCTCTTTCGCCAACAGCCATACATTCTGTCTTGTTACAGTTAATAGTTAGTCTTTTTTTCTCGCGTTCCTTATCTAGTTGTAGTTTTCTGTCTGAGTTTGCCATCATCAATGTATCACCTGAACATCTTGTGTTATAAAGATTATGTCCACTGGTAATAAATCCTGGTAAGTCTTCTAGCTTTCTTAAGATCATCCTTCTGTATAGGTTAAATAAATCCAATGGGAAAATGCCTCCTTATCTTACTCCTCTTTCTATTTTTGTGTACTTGCTCAACTTTTTAATCTGGTTAGTCCTCCAGTAAATGTTATGGATTAGTCTGATATCTTTTTATAAGTCAAGTTTTCTTAGCTGTTCAAATAAGTCATTGTGTTGTATCTTATCCAAATGTTTTGTGTAATCTATGAAACATAGGTATAGACCTTTCTGAATTTGTTTTTCTTGCTATGATAGCATTGTTTAATACAGCATCAAGCTCTGTCCTTTGGAATCTTTATTATAAGCTTGGTTAATGGTTCATTAAGCTGATTGTCCAATGGAGTTTTCACCTTGCTTTTTTTTGACATCACTATGTCAATAAATTTACTGGTGTGTTCTAGTATTTTGTCAGTCATATATTTCATTTCTTATTTTAGTAATCTTGCTAATCCATGAATCATCTAAGGTTATCAGAATCTTTGTTACAATCCTGTCTGGCTCTGCTGCTTTGTATCTGTTCGTCTTACCCAGTGCCAATCTTGCCTCAAATTTTAATACTACAGGTCCTTCTATAATTCTATATGTTGTAGGTTAATCTCTGTTGTGGAGGATTTTCTAGTGGTGTATTAGATAGTAACTTGGAATGAGAAATTGATGAGCCAAATTCAAATTTTGACTGGATTTATTGTATTCATTTACATGCAAATAACTTGTGAAAGGTATAAACCCATCTCCTCTACACCAGCTATGGGTTAAATAGTAGGATTTGTATCTGAAAAAAATCATTGTTATTCCTCAAAAAAATTTTTAATGCAATGTTTGCTTGCAAAAAAAAAAAAATAAAAAAATAACATTCTAAAATAAGTTTCAGCTTTAAATAATCCACAAAGGGTTGATAAGGTTATACACTTTTTTAATAATAAATCAATAACTTGTTATTGAAGAATTCTCCAATGTATTTGTTTCTTCTTAGAAGTACCTTTTATTTTTTTTCTATTAGGAGTGTTCCCTTTCTAAATTTTATGCATCCTGTTGAAGTGCATGTTTTCTGCCCTATTATTTCTTTTATCATCTTATGCATGCCTCTTATGTCTCTTTTCTGTAGTGTTTCTATCTCTGCACACTTGAGCCATTCATCTGTTGCCTGTTTGTTTTTGCTTAATATCCTTACTGTATTATAATTTAAAAGCAATACACATTGGCGTCATAAACATGTCTGTCATAAGCTAATTTTAATGTTCTCTTTGGATATTAATATATTTTATGTTTTTAAAACCTTGTAAAGTTCAATATAAATGCATAACATTACAATGTATGACTCAAGCTTAAATGCAATTTTTCAGGCTAAAGATTGCGTTTAAGCATGAAACATACTGTGACTACTGGTTGTTAACCTCAATGTCCACACACACACATATATATATATATATATATATATATATAACTTTTCATCCACCCTGTATTTTTGGTTTCTCACTGAACACATTCTCTATCAACATGTAGGTGGTTTGTTCCTAATAAAGGTTATGGATTTTTAATATCTTTCCTATATAAATCAAGCTTTTTTGGTATTTCAAGTCTGTCTTTGTGTTGTACTTTATCAAATGCTTTTGTGTAATCTGTAAAATATAGGCATAGGTCTTTCTGCATTTTATTTCTTGTTTTACTGTCTTGAACTAAGCCACACTGTTGTTGTCCTATTTCCAGTCTAATTCTAGTACGAGTTCTATTCATTAAAATTCTAATTATGACTGATTATGTGATTGATAAAATTGAGTGTCCAATGGAATTCACATTCATTTGTATGAGGCATTTTTGGCCTCACTATGAAGGTAAGATGTACAAAGATCTTTGCCACTGTCATATATTTCATTATTATTTCAGTAATTTTATTGATCCCAAAATTGTCTAAGGCTGACAATGTCTTACAATCTGCTGCTTTTGTTCAGTGTCAATCTTATCTCAAATTTTAATATTACAGGTCCTTCCATGTTATTGTGTCTTGTAGCTTTCTCTCTTCTCTTGTTGAAGAGCTCTGATCTATTCCTTCCATCTTTGTAGTATCCTATTTTTTTTCCTATTATGAGTGTTCCCTTTCTAGATTTTATGCATCTTGTTGAAGCACATGTCTTCTGTCCTGTTATTTCTTTTATCATTTTATGCATGCCTCTTATGTCTCTTTTCTGTAGTGTTTCTATCTCTGCACACTTTTATGTTGAGACCTTCGTCTCTTGTCTGTTTGTTTTTGTTAATTCTTCTTCTGTGCTTTGTGACATTGACACACATACTCATATAATGGTTATATTGAAAGGCTTGCTTTTCAAAATAGGGAAAGGAATGTTGATGTTTAGACTTTCTGACTTCAGCATTTTATTTTTCAACTTCCCATACTGATATAGTGTCATAACATTTCATGTTCAGATTACAGTTTTGTCTTTGTTAACTCTACAAACCTGATTATTCAGCTGTGTTTCAAGGGTAAGTCAAATAGCATATTTTTCCAGGAATATGTATTTTTTCTGTCGTTTGATCTGTTTTGTTTGAATATGACGTGTTTCTTCTGGAAAGTTTTTAAGCAAAATTAAGTTTTATATTGAGAGCCACTGAAGCATTTCTAAAATGCGAGTTGGTTTTTCCAAACTAAAGTCTTTGTTCCTTTTTATGTAGATGTTTATTTTAAAGTATGAAAGCTTAAAAAGAAGGGATAAATGATCAAGTAACTAAAAATAATAACTTAGCATTTTTGTATTACCATGAATTGAGTTCCTACTTCCAAAAAAAAAGAAAATGCAATTTATTTTTGTTCATTTTATGCCTCCATATTTTGAAATTATGTCTATTATAGACAAACAGAAAAAAACAAAAAAAAAAACAAATCTGTTACTTAAAGAAAAATGGACACAGAATATGGGTCCAGTTTAGCAACATACTTACATTATAAATCACCTCTCCCACACCAAAGTTAATTCTTTAAATGTAATGCAGATTATCTTCAATCAAATCAAGTAAAAATGCATGAGAGTAAAAAAAAAAAAAAAAAAAAAAATAATTACTACAAATATCCTACTGCTTTAAACCAAATCTTAACTTTCAACTTGGCATCTAAAATAAATTAGTTATAAATGAGGGAATACTGAAAATATTTTGGCATGATTCACTTCCCCAAATTCCAAATTTAACCAATTAACCATATTTTTTATTTTTTTTTTTTTTTTTTTTTTTTTTTATGTGGGATGCTTTTTGGTTTGACCAAGAAATTTTCACCATCTCCTCATCCTATTACTGCTTACATTTAACTATTGTGTTTTCAAAAATTTAAAAGAAGGCTACTGCAATAATAATAAAATAATGAGGTTTTATTCTCAAGATTTATTTTTTCTGCTACAAAATTTCCCAGGATTTACTGCTGTATAGATTTTTTTATTATGTTCAAAGTTTATTAATCTTTGATCATAAATAAGAACACTCTCTAATTTACATAATTAGATTATTAAAGTTGTTTTTGTTCAGGTCAAATTGTAGCTTTAAAAATAGTTGAACCGTTGTCTAAAACAACTTATATTATGTAAACTTTAAAAATGTTTATGGTTTCTTTATTCTTAATTTTGATACATGCAGGGTTAAGTTTCAAGGATAATCAAACACCTGAAATGGAACTTTGCACATTCTAAGTTGCCATATAATATAATCTGCATTATAAAGTCAAAAAATGATCTCTCCTCAAAAGAAAACCTATTATTCAGTTCTCCCTATCAGGTATTGCCAGTTTAAAGACATTATCTGACACCCTCCATCTCTGAAGTGTTTTTATTAGTTTTATGACACTTTACTCAGGGCTTATGGCCACATCATGTTGAAATATTGGTTCCCATATGATCACCAAAGTTAAGCAACATCAAACTTAGTCAGCACCTAGATGGGTGACCACTTGGGAATTACCAGGTGCTGTAAACTTGGATATGCAGGTTGTGTAATTGATAATAGCTTGGAATTGTTAAATGGATAGCCGAGCTCCAATTCCCATTAGGTTCAATATATTCACTTGTGTGCAAATATGAAAGGTATAAATCCAATGCTTGTCACTCCAGCTATGAGTCAATTAGAAAGACTTGTATCACTAAACCATTATCTCAAACTTACACTCTAAAAATATTATGTGGCTTTAAATAACCTGCAAAGTATTGGTAAGCTGTAAAAAATGAATCGATCATTCCTCAGTTAATATTAATAACATAAAGGATTATTGCCAAACATTAAAGTGACTATATAACATTGACCTAGAATTAATGAATTATAATCTCACCAATGGTAAGTGATTTATGACATATCTGATAAAGTATATAAAAATGGAATATGTGAAAAGTTGTTTTCAAATTGGCAAAGTTTAGCATTCAAAATTGCAAAAAGCAATGGTGTGTCAAGAGTATGGTTTTTATCTTAATACAACATCTACTGTATATTCTCTCAGCAATTTTTATTGTTTTAAAAAGCTATTTTGAGTTTTAATAAAACTCAAACATATGAAACTGTTCATTTTTTTATTTTATTTTTTTTTTAATTTTTTTTCAAGGATTGAAAATGAAATTAAACACTATATATTTTATTAGATTGTTTATTTAAAAGAATAATTTAATATTCAAAAGTTTATAAAAATGTGAACCAACTCCAATTCAATATTTATCATATTATAAAGAAATAATTATGTAAACAATTTTTTTCATAAATTTATAAAAATGTTTGTGAATAAGAGAACAAGAAAATTTAAATAAATACATAATGAGTAACTGAACTGTAATCATAAATTTTGACAAAATACATTTTCTTGTCATTTCTTTCATTTGCTCTCACCAAATAAATTCACTAAAATAGGTTGAGAGCATTTTGATTTTTTTTTTTTTTTTTTTTTTTTTTTTTTTTTCGATCTAACAACAAAAATGTTGAATATTTTATTTATTCATTAGACCAGAAGTTCTCAGCCAGGGTCCATATAACATTACTGGGGTCCGCACAAGAAAAATAGCAAATTCGCAGTCCATGGTACTATTTTAATGGTTTATGGAGCAATTTCACTTCAGATTGGTTATTAGAGAATTGGAGTTTTTACAGTAATTTCTGCCATATTAAAAATGGAAAAACAACTCTACAATTAGTAGAAAATAAAATCAATTGATGTCAGTGTCCCCTTTTACTCTACTGGATGTTTTGATTGTAAAAATTGAATAAAAACTGAGGAGGATGTATAGTGTCCATAAATGTTCCATAGAATTTAGTGGTTAAATACAAGTTCATTTTCATTAAATTAGTCTTAATTCAAAATAAAGCATATACATTTACCATTTATTATTTCTATAATATAATTCCTAAACTTATCTATCAGTAAAAAATTAAATAAGCTCTTTTTTTTCTTTCATTCATCAAATGGTTATTGGGGTCCACCCCCAAAAAATGAAGAGTAAAAGTGGTCGAAGGATAAAAAAAGGTTCAAAGGTTTAAAACCACTGTATTAGACTGTTACAAAAATAGTGTTTAATACTTTTTTGTCAATTCTCAAGAAAGAATACAGAAATCCAGTTTCCTATGTTTGTTTTTTAATTCTAAATATAACTTTTGAAAACCATAAGGCTTACAACCACATCATGTTAAAACACCAGGTCTTGTATGATCACTGAAGTTAAGCAATTTTGAGCTTGGTCAGTACCTACATGGGCGAGCTTGGATGTGCAGGTAGTGTAATTGATAACAGCTCAGAATTGTAAATCGGAGAGGCAAGTTCCAATTCCAGTCATTATATTTGCTTATGTGCAAATACCTTTGGAAAATGTATGAATCCACCTCTTCTCTCCTGAGCTATGGGTTAATTAGTAGAACTTGTATCAGTAAAAAATCATTATTGTTACCAAAACGTTCTTACAATCTAAATGTTTTCTGGCTTTAAATAACATGCAAAAGGTTGATAAACTGTAAAAAAAAAACAAAAACAAATCAATCCATCAAAACTGTAAACATTGCCATAGGAGTATGCAGAAATAGTAGTGTCAAGAGAAAAAATACCTTCCTTTTTGACAAACTGTATTTTTTGGCTGGTGCAAATGTTAAACTTTGCCAAAGAATCTATAATATTTTGAGTCTATAATATATAATTTGTAAATCATTTTGATATTTTGTCATTCAGTAATATTGTTTAATCACATGGACAATTTTGCAAGCATTTAGAATAAATTCATCCCTAATTTTGAAACTCTTTTGTCGTGCACATGGATTATGAAAGATATTTTTAAATATACTCATTAAGTTTACCAAAGAAATGAATAAGTTAAGATTTTTTTATATACTAAGAAGGTTACTTCGTTAGAAGACTGAATTAACAACCAACCAAAAAATGCATCATTTCATGTGGCAACCTAATACTATACTAAGCCATCAATTTCACAAGAATCTGATTCCTTGTAAGCATTTTCCTTGAAGTCATAAAGGCATAGGTTTCTTCTTCTTTATATTCTGAAGATATGTTAATAATCTGAACACTGCTGACACACTGGCCCAATGGGATAATATCAAGATCACAGAGATCATCTTCAAGTATCTGTTCCCCTTAATCCAACCATCTCCTTGGTACCAAAAAGAGTATGGTTAGGGTTAACCCCTGTTGCTTGAGACATTCCTATAGGAAGTATCAAGGAAGTTGAACAATTTTAATCACTAATATCACATACAGACTGAATTACTATAATAAAAGGCCTTGTGCCAAATCTTGTCTCAGTGGGAGGACAGTTAAGTACCAACTCACCCAGCATTACCTCTCATCACTAAATAATACTTGATAAACATTAACATGAAATGTGGGTATAGTGCTGAGTTAAAGGTTAATCTCACAAGTTATTGTTAGTAAGTTTCATCTTTACTGGGAGCAATGTTATTATTGTGCTTCTAAATCACACTAAGGTGAGTTTAAGAAAGATCTAAATTCAATAGAAAAGAAAAAATAAGTCTCATTTTTCAAAATTTAGAGTTTCAAAACAAACTGGCGATATATTGAATAGGCATTGTTGTTTTTATATCTTTGTATTATGATCTGCTCATTATTTACTTCAGGGTCAGAACAAATCAACATTTAATTGCAAGAAATATTTATTGGAATCTGACAATTCACCTGTGATACAAAGTGCCATAGCCAATATTCATACCATATGGAAAAATGCCTACTGTGATAGTAAGTATTTCTCATTTATTTTTTATATATATAAGTTGTGACTTCTGTTTGTTTGTTATTGAACTCCTAGACTTTTAGAGATCAACCCCCATAGCCATATATATTCTGAAACTACATTACCCAGGGTAATTTAATAAGTATATTTCAAAGTGGGGTCCCCCAATTTGATCAAAATGAAATATACTTATAACCACCACCCCTGCCACCACTATCACCACTGGAATTTTTTTCCCTTTGATTTAAATTTAAATTTGAACAAGGGAATGACTACTATCCAAAATATAAGGAGAAAGCCAGAAGATGAAGGTCACATCAGCAAGCTCAAAAACAGACAAATGGACATCAAGTCAAGCAAGTAATCACCAATCAGTGGGTAGTGCCTTATAATAAGCATTTGTTGGGAGAATTCAACTGTCATATCAATGTTGAAATCAGCTCATCCATTTATTCAACCGAGTATTGCATCAAATAGATATCAAAGTGGTCAGATCAAGCTGTTTTTGCATAGCCACCCCCCACACACACACTGAAAATTTATCTCCATCTGATTTAATTTAAATTTGAACATGAGCATGACTCTTATCCAAAATATAGAAGAAGAAAGCCAGAAGATGGAGGTCACATTGGCAAGATCATTGAGTAATATTGAAATGCATTATTTTTCTCCACAAATTATAACAATGATTTAAAATTATTTTATCACAAAAAAAAATGTGACGTGCAGCAAGGTGAAGGTAATTCAGCTAGTATGTTTTTTATTTATATACATACATACACATGCATGCATGCACACACACACACACACACACACACCAAATAAAAGACTCGGAAGAAAACCCCTATCAATACTGGAAATATCAATTACAGCTACTAGGCTTGAGAAACCTGTTTTCGTGAAAAATTGTTTCAAGAGAAAGATTTTATAAATTTCAACTGAAAGTACTACTGGCTGCTCGGCCAATGAATACCAAATTTTTCCTTATAGAGTAATGGCTAATATTACCATTACACACGTACATGGGTGGATGTGGTGTCTTAGAAGTCAGTGCTTCCTCTAAGATTATAAAGCTTAATTATTAAATATAAAGAAACAAAGATTTTCAATTCATTGTAAATTTCTAACTTAATGTACTAAAATCAGTGCATAATTTCATAAATGCCAAATTCAAATCCATAGCATTCATGCTTTTGGTGGTGGAATCCTTCTCTGATTGAACATATTTTCAGAGGTGTAGCTATACTCACCACGCTTAGCCAATTGAGGGTTGGTGAGGCTATTTAACACATAGTCAAAGTGGATGGCAGTTCGTTTACTTTGAGTTCATCCACTCTTTAACAGTTCTTGTTTTTTGTGCTGCTAGGGCTCTACTTACCCTCCTCACCAGACCAAGGTCTTATGGAGGAGCCAGTTTAGTTGCCAATGACTTGACCACTCGGGTTTTAAATTCAGAGCTATCCTTCTCCTAAACCAGTTGCCTACCATGACTATAGGACCACGCCTGTTCTGCTATTTACCTATAGCTTGGTAGGGGAGAAGAGATACCTTCCCAAGGGTATTTGCACGTAAATGAATGTTACAAACTCTATTTTCCTTAATCCAAGCCTCTCTCCATTTCTCCACCGTGCCTCCACTCATCGAATGGTTGTTTTTTTCTCTTTCTTTTCATCTTAGTTACGATTTGTCTGCACCTTTTAATTACAATTAACAAGTATAGTGATGTATTGGAATAACCTGTCACTCCCATGAGTGACTACACTATAAGTAGTAGCTACCTATAAGTATCTGTAAGTCAACGGACTACAGAGACTAGCTGAAATTTTTCTCTGCTAGCTGGTCGACCTCTCTGCCTTTGAGCAGAGAGGAACCCGGATGAAGCTATGCCAAAGGGCAAAGTCTCGTTCGGGGAGGTAGACTGACCCCAAACCTGTTTATACAGGTTTGAAAGGGAATATTTTTGTCCGAGCCTACAGGCTTGGAAGACCCACGTAAAACTCGGCCTTGTGCCACATCTACATCTTGTTTAAATTTAATTTAAATCGAAGGGAAAAAAAAAATTCTGGTGGTGGTGAAGAGGGTGCTCCCTTCCCTCCAGGACCCCTTTGATCAAAATGAAATATACTTATCCAAGTAAGCTGGGTAATGTATGTTAAACATAGCAGAAATTCTGACTTTACTACAATGCAGAGTATACAGTAATCCTTCACTTAAGCAGGGTAAAATAAACTGCTATTCCCTGAAAAGCATAAAATCAATAAGACCAAGGTATATGTGCTACAGGCAAAAAGTTTGGGACCACCCTGCATTTCTTTTTAAAAAAAAAAAAAACAACCTTAAATGAGATATTTTCATATTTTTCTTTTTTTTATTCCTTTTTAAGTAAAAGAAAAAAATTCAGTAAGTACAGAGTATGTTTAATTTTATTTTTCATTCTTTCTCCAGGCTCTTCTTACTACCAAAAAGTTGAAATTTAGATTTGTTTGTCCACAAGACATTTTCCTTTGTATGTGAAACATTATATTTTGTTTTCACTATTAACCCTCAGTAGACTTTTTGAGATTACCAAAAGGGCTGGAGATTTGATTCAAGTCAAGGAAAACATGAAAAAAAGAACAGTATCATTCAATTTTGCAAAAACATGCTATACCGTCTGGTTCACACATAATTGGAAAACAATTAAACTTTCAACACGACAACAATCCCAAACACTCGAAATTCTGAAAAAATTACCTCAAATCAAAAAAAAAAAACAAAATTTTGGAAATTACGACTTGGCCACCACAATCTCTTGACCTCTCTCCCATTGAATTAGTATGAGATGAATTGGATAGGAGATTTCAAAGAGAATAACCAAAGAGTGAGAGTGAGTTTTTTTTTTTCACAGCTTGAAGAATCTTTGGGAAAGTCTGTCATACTTTTTTTTCAAAATTTGTTGGAAAAATTCAAGAATTTATAAAGCTGTAATTAAGGCAAGTGATGGTTTTATTGATGAAAATAAAATATGACATGGTTGTATAATAATTTTTTATAGTTGTGCTTATTTTTTGTCAAAATAAAAGCAGATACATTGTAGTTAGTGAAATTTTATGTCTTCCTTTAAAAAAAATACAAAAATATCTCATTTTAAAATGTTTTTAAAGAAATGCAGGGTAGCCTAAACCTTTTGCCTGTAGCGTACATTTATTACAATTAAACATTATTACAATGATTAATAGTGGACTATGCTGAAACCTTGTGACTGTTTTTTGTAGTGCTGACATCACATGAATTCATGAAGATGCAATTTGAACAAATCTTCAGCAGTTCCAAACATATTGAGTATAGATGGTGTCATCATCAGGATCCATGACAGTGAATGGCAGCAAGCATTTTACTAGCATTGTTCCTGCGTGCTTCATGGTAGATGTCATGCTGTGCCATATTGCAGCTTCAGCAATAGACATAACAGATCAATTGCTTTTGTGGTAACCTGCTGTTAGCAAAGAATGAATCATTTTTGACACTTCAATGTTTACATGATTCGCAATACTGGCAATAACCATCTGTTGCATCTTGATATGGATTTTTACCCCAAATGGCAGGTTGCCTTGGTTGCCATTTCAAATGAACCATCATTGGGCCTAACCAACACAGTACATTTATAGGCTCCTTAAGATGCTGAGCTCCAATAAGCACCAATCTTCTTGCAAAATATCTTATGATAATAATTCATTTATATCAATGATTGACTGTAGGACATTTGGTTTGTCACATGACATGGCTGAAATGAAACTGGACAGTTTACTTTGTCATTTAAGTGAAGCAGAACTTTGAAAAATTATTTTATGCCACTTATGTGAAGGATTACTGAGTGTGCATATGTATTCTAAAACATTTTTTGCTTAAAATCTTGAGTTAACACCCCCCCCTCTTCAGAGTATTGCTAAAATTCCTTTCCAAAATATTTAAAGCTATTTTTGGCAAACATGGACCTTTGTGTCTGCAAAAAACAGTGGGTCAAAAGGACAGTTTCCCATTGATACCACTATTATTTTAACTACCTTCACTCCTTGGCAATGTTTATTGTTTTAAAATGATGATTAGAATTTTTATAAGACCCAAGTTAATTTATACATTTTCTTTGTCCTTGCAAATTGACAACAAAAATAATAATCTATTTATTCATTAGATTGTTTATTTACACTATTTATTATATTGTTTATTGGAGTAGTTGGAAAGACATCAGTTAATTGTCAACTGATTCAGACTTTATAAAATTGTAAATTATGAGAATTTCCTTATAGTTGGTTTGCATATTTTAATAATTTAGTAAATGTTTATAAATTTATGAATAAAAAATTTGTTCATATTTATTTCTTTAAAAATTGGTAAATGATAAATGTTACATTGCATTAGTTTTAATTGTATTAGTTTTAGAATGTTGTAAATATAAAATTAATTATTCTTGTAAATATAAAATTAGTCTTGTAAATATAAAATTAGTCTTGTAAATATAAAATTAGTCTTGTAAATATAAAATTAGTCTTGTAAATATAAAATTAGTCTTGTAAATATAAAATTAGTCTTGTAAATATAAAATTAGTCTTGTAAATATAAAATTAGTCTTGTAAATATAAAATTAGTCTTGTAAATATAAAATTAGTCTTGTAAATATAAAATTAGTCTTGTAAATATAAAATTAGTCTTGTAAATATAAAATTAGTCTTGTAAATATAAAATTAGTCTTGTAAATATAAAATTAGTCTTGTAAATATAAAATTAGTCTTGTAAATATAAAATTAGTCTTGTAAATATAAAATTAGTCTTGTAAATATAAAATTAGTCTTGTAAATATAAAATTAGTCTTGTAAATATAAAATTAGTCTTGTAAATATAAAATTAGTCTTGTAAATATAAAATTAGTCTTGTAAATATAAAATTAGTCTTGTAAATATAAAATTAGTCTTGTAAATATAAAATTAAAATATAAAATTAGTCTTGTAAATATAAAATTAGTCTTGTAAATATAAAATTAGTCTTGTAAATATAAAATTAGTCTTGTAAATATAAAATTAGTCTTGTAAATATAAAATTAGTCTTGTAAATATAAAATTAGTCTTGTAAATATAAAATTAGTCTTGTAAATATAAAATTAGTCTTGTAAATATAAAATTAGTCTTGTAAATATAAAATTAGTCTTGTAAATATAAAATTAGTCTTGTAAATATAAAATTAGTCTTGTAAATATAAAATTAGTCTTGTAAATATAAAATTAGTCTTGTAAATATAAAATTAGTCTTGTAAATATAAAATTAGTCTTGTAAATATAAAATTAGTCTTGTAAATATAAAATTAGTCTTGTAAATATAAAATTAGTCTTGTAAATATAAAATTAGTCTTGTAAATATAAAATTAGTCTTGTAAATATAAAATTAGTCTTGTAAATATAAAATTAGTCTTGTAAATATAAAATTAGTCTTGTAAATATAAAATTAGTCTTGTAAATATAAAATTAGTCTTGTAAATATAAAATTAGTCTTGTAAATATAAAATTAGTCTTGTAAATATAAAATTAGTCTTGTAAATATAAAATTAGTCTTGTAAATATAAAATTAGTCTTGTAAATATAAAATTAGTCTTGTAAATATAAAATTAGTCTTGTAAATATAAAATTAGTCTTGTAAATATAAAATTAGTCTTGTAAATATAAAATTAGTCTTGTAAATATAAAATTAGTCTTGTAAATATAAAATTAGTCTTGTAAATATAAAATTAGTCTTGTAAATATAAAATTAGTCTTGTAAATATAAAATTAGTCTTGTAAATATAAAATTAGTCTTGTAAATATAAAATTAGTCTTGTAAATATAAAATTAGTCTTGTAAATATAAAATTAGTCTTGTAAATATAAAATTAGTCTTGTAAATATAAAATTAGTCTTGTAAATATAAAATTAGTCTTGTAAATATAAAATTAGTCTTGTAAATATAAAATTAGTCTTGTAAATAAACAATTTAATAAATAAATATTGCTTAATACTTTTGTTATCAATTCTCAAAAAGAAAAAAAAAATGTATAAATTCACTTTCATCATATGTTTAGGTTTTATTTCAATTCTAATCATCTCTTTGGGTCATTTCATATCAAATCATCCAGGGCATGTCACCCTTACCACTTCAATTTTTCTGAAATTTTGTTCATGTGTTACAGTCAGACAATTCCCAAAATTTGAGCTTTTAATTTCAAAAATTGTCCAATTTACATCAATTTCTAGTTTTCCCCACTTTTGGAGTTGCACAAAAATTGTGACCTTTCATAATCTGTTTTTATCTGTAAAATTAATTCTAGAGCTCCCCTACTCCTAAAAATTGGATTAGAAAGGCTTTTTGGCTCAAGGAATCCAAAAATGCTATAAAAAAACTCAAAATTAATCAATTTTAAGTTATTAATGATTTGGGATTTTTTTTTTTTTTTTTTTTTCATAGCAACATCAATAAGGGAGAGAATCCCCTTGTGGCAGTGCATCTGTGACAAGAAAAATTTTTTATTATTACTTTACATATATTGAGCATTATTTGTACCAAAAAGATAGTTTGGTTTTTAAAATGATAAACATTGTCAACAGAGAAGTTAGTTAAAATAAAGGAAGGAAATAACTGTCATTAAAACATTCATTTTTTTCTTTTTTTTTTTTTCTTTTTTTTTTTTTTTCCAAGTACAAAGGTCCATGTTTGCCCTATTTTTTCTGTTGATTAGGCTTTTGTTCACAATTTACTTTATAAATATCCTCAGTATTTACTTTTGCCACATGCCTTATATGCACACAAAATAATAGCATTTTTTATAATGAACATACTTAAAATACTATTAAACAAGATACTTTAAAACAGTATTAAATTTAAACTTGGAGCAAGTTTTAAAAAAATCAGTGCATCAAAGTTTTATTAATAAGGATAATTGGCCTAAAATTAAAAAAATAATTTTTTGATCAAATGCAAATTTGATGACTATCAAAATTTGAATTTTTAATCAGTTATTTAATTAAGGGTTTCCCAATATTTCTTAATTTGATTTTGGTATTCTCTATCCAAATGCACCCATTGTCTGCTGTTGCATCATAGTCTGATTTTTGTTTGTTAAACTGTTATTCTTCCCTAGATTGCTTCGGAAAATCTCTTGTATCTGCCACTACAAATGGCACTGAACTTTCCAACAGTACATTGAAATTCCTTTTGCTCTATCAGAACCTGACTGACTGCATTAGTAACAATATTCTATATAATGTAAGTAAAGTTATTTAATTTTCCTTCTTTCTCTTAAAAATTTAATACAATCATGGTAAAATGTTATAATTAATGTCAAATTGTGATTTGATGCAAAATCATAACTTTGGTATAATATCTGAACATTTAAGATTTTGTTTTAATTAAAAAAATGTTTTATAATGTAACTGTTTTCTTTTTAAAGCTATAGTATTAAAGATTATTGAGTAACATTTTAGTACTGAGATATTGATAACCTTTAAATCTAAAACAGTTTTTTCTTTTAATTAATAAAGAATTTATTATAAACAATCATGTGTATATGATGTTTAAAGCTTATAGACTAGAAGGTCTGGAAATTTCCTTATGATTTGCCTAAATAATAATTTTTAAATAGATTTTTAATTCAACATTTCTTATTACTAAAAATGTTATTTTTAATGGTGACAAGTGTTTGAGTTAATACCATTTTTTTTTCTTTTCTTAAATAGTGAAATTAATAATAACCAACTTAGATTGAGGGTCTCTCATGGCCAAATTGGTAATGACACAGTTCAGCTATAGGAATGATTTCCTTGATGGAAGAAGGGGACATGGGTTCAATTCCTGTTGGGAAGCATATTTTTCTTTAGTAGGGCTTCTTGATTTATTTTTAGAAATAAAGAATAGTATAAAATAATGTTTATAGCCATAAAAAATATGTCTGAATTTCTGGGATGAGGAGTTATTTACGTTATTTATAATCAGACTATTCTCCTCATCTTTGTCATCATTATAGTCTGAATATAAATAATGTAAATAAAATAACAGTATAAAATAAAATATTTAGTTTCAAGAAATAACTATTAGTATGAACAATAGTAACTTCTAATAAAGTAAAATGTCACTTCTCCCTCTGGAGCAGAGTAAAGTGTTTTTTTTTTTTTTTTTTTTTTTTTTAAAGATGACCTTAAGTTATAAAGAATGTAATTCTCTTGTAATCAGAGATTTCTTTAGAATGTTATGGGTGTTGAACCTTGTGCCAAATTTATAAAAAGCTTCATGCAATTTGGGAAGGAAATATAAGAAAAAAAATTTTTTTCTCTGTGTATTTAACACATCCTTGTTCATTTTCTCATTTCTTTTTCTTTCTAACAGTTACCATTCAACATTTGCAAAAATTGCCATCACATGTATACTGCATTAAATAAACACTTTAATGACATTGAAAAAATATCTTCTTCATCTGTGTGCATGGACATTATGGACAGAGTAAGTATTATTTCCCATGACGTGAGTTCTTGATTTATAAACATTGTCTGCATTGAATATTGTAATGAAGATTAGGAGATGGAACTTATTAACAGAGAAAACATCTTCCTTTTGCGAAAAGCATGAACCCTTTTCTGCTCTCTTGTCACCAAATGTCATGATACTGGCATCCTGTGATGGTTGACAGAAACAAAATGTGGTTGAGTACAGAGGCTTGCTTATAAATATTCCCAGGCAATAAATACCAGCAAAGCTATTACCTCCATAACCTTGACAAGTCCAGTTAATGAAAGGATGTGGGTTTTGAGGAAGTTGCTTTCATATAATCATAAAGTAATGGTTGGTGACTTGTTTTCATGTATACATATATATATATATATTGTATATATTTAAATATTTTTGTAAGAATACAAAATTTTATTACAGCGATATAAATGGAAATATCAAAAGAATATTCATAACAAAAAAGATATATTACCACAAATTGGTAATCCCAAAATATAACAATTAAAAACACCTGAACCAGTTTATCAGCCCTCTCATCGGTGCAAAAATTGAGGACAAAAAAAATCAAATGTGCACAGTAACTAAAAAACATGTTCAACCCTGTTGTGGAATAAATAAGACACCCCTGGTAATACAAATGAACTAGACACCCCTGGTAATACAAATGAACTAGATGCCTTAAATAAAGAACTCAAAGTGAGTCAGGGGAAGTCCATTGGAATTAGTCAAGAAAAATCCTAATGACATCACAGAGAGTAGCCTAAGCAAGACATAATATTATAACCACTAGGAGTGAGTTATAACAGTGGCAATGAGAGATTGAAATTGGGTAGGAAAAAATACTTTATGCTTTGGCACATATGATAACAGTGATGACAAGAAATTAGAAGCACATTAGTTTAATTTGTTTTCTTTGGTATGTGTAAAAAAAAAAAAAAAAAAAAAAGAAAGAAGGAAAACAGTTATTCTTTAAATATGAACACATGGCACAGTGGATAAAGGCATTGGTTAGATCCAGTGACAGGACCCAAAGAGTGAGTTCAATACCCGGTTAAAGCAGTGGAGAACTTTCAGAGGGAAATTAACAGGAGATAACTGATAACTGACATCTATCAAACATGGCACGTGGAACTAGAACAGTCTACCCCAGTGAGCGAAATAAAGGGTTCAGTTCGACATTCCAACCACTTGAAGAAGGCCGAAGTGTACAACGGCCAAAACGTGATAAATATGGCGACAAAGATGAGGACAATAGTCCGAATAATGGAAGAAGTATTAACCAAGTGGTAAAAATACATTAACAGTAACAACTGCAGTTGTTGGAACTCCAGAAACAGCAATAAAATTTAATTGAAATAATATGGAAGAAAATGCTATAGCTGAATTCACTTGCAATTCAGATGATGGAATTGCCTTTTCTGCTTATTTTAGAAGATACAAGCAAATTTTCAAAGCAGTATGCAGTGACTGGGAAGATGAGAAAAAATGACTTTTGTTGAGAAAGTTAGCAATGGTAGAACATGAAAAATACTGTAATTTTGTGCTACCAAAAAAAAAAAAATTTGCTTTGAAGAAATAGTAAATATTCTTTCTAAAAATTTTTAGCAAGAAAAGTTTGTTATTCAATACTCATTGGAAGTGTATGAATCTGACAAAAAGATGAAGATTTTGTCACTTAATGCTAGAATCATTAACAAGAAGTGTGAAAGATTCAAATTAAATGACCCTGACACAGAAACACATGCTAGAATTCTAACAAAACTTGAACAGAATCAAAAACTAAGTATCAGATGAATATCAGAGAATGATAAATCTGAGATGCGATACGGAAGAAATTGAAGAAAAAGAATCTGCATACATGCAAGCTAAAGAAAAATGTGGAAAAAGAAAAATTAATCCATGTTTCAGATGTGGAAGGTTACATCTCAGAGACAACTCTCTTTATGAATTCAAAGTGCTGCAAGTGTAAAAAAAGAAGTAGGACACAAAATGTCACACTGTAAAACTAATGGAAGGAAAAGTCCCCACAGAGAAAAATTTTGTACACAGCATTGTGATGGAAAAAACAAATTACAGTAAACCAAAGAAAATTTGTTTATGCGAAAATTTATAATGTGGATGTAAAAACACTGGTAGTGATATCACATTAATCAACAAAACCACATGGAAAGCAAGTGGAAAACCTCTATTAAAAACAACTTCAAAAATCGCATGTTGAGTAAGAAAATATTTTTTATTGGTGAAATGACTTGTAATGTTTCATTTTATAACATGAGTGTAAAAGCTAAGGCTTCTGAATTAAAAATACTACAAACTTATTCAGTTCTGACTTATATCCCAACAATCTATGGATACTATGCTTGCAGAATGTGACTTCCCAGTTGCTTATCTGGATGATATATTAATTAAAATTTATCTAAGGAACAATATATAGGGAATGTGAAAAGAGATTTTGAAAAAATAAAAGAATGTGGGTTCAAGCTCAGTGAGGAAAAGTGTGAATTGTTTTTACCTAAAATCAAGTACCTATGACAAATTATTGACAAAAATGGTCGTCAACCAGATCCGGCAAGTGCAGTTAAGAATATGCCTCCTCCAACAAACATTAATAGGTTACAAGCATTTCTGGGACTAACAAACTATTATCAAATCTATATACCTAATGTGCAGAATTTGACAGCTCCACTGAACAATTTGCTTAAAAAAGGCATAAAGTGGAACTGGACTGATAAGCATCAGAAGCTATTTGAAAAAAATCAAGAAAATACTAATGTCAGACTTATCATTAGTGCACTACAATCAAAAAGCAGAAATTGTAATGGCTTCCGATGCTAGTGACTATGGTATAGGAGCAGTAATTCTACATAAATATGATGATGGTAACATGAAAGCCATTGCACATGCTTCATGTTCGCTACTACTGACAGGAAAAAACTACAAATAGATCAAAAAAGAGGCGTTAGCAATAACATTTGCAGTGAAAAAAAAATTCACAAACTTATACACTGAAGGAGTTTTCATTTACAGATGGACCAGACCCCTATTATGAATTCATGTTTCTAAAAACAGGAATTCCTATACATGTTGCGACTAGGTTACAATGCTAGGTTACCATCTTATAATACCAACCATCCTCAAAAATCAGAACATGCTGATAGTTTATCAAGATTGATATCAAAAAATACTAAACCATTTGAGTTCACTTCTATTGCAGCATTAAAAAGTGAAATAGAAATTAAAAATATATTATGCAATGTAGTACATGATCTACCAGTTACTCTGGAAGAAATAAAAGTAAAAGCAGAATAAGACATGTTTATTTTGAAAATAAAAAAAAGACTACTGAATTAAGAAAGATAGACAATTTTTAGAATGCAATCCAGACTTGAACACTTACTCACTATGTGATAGAGTACTGATATTTGCACAAAGAATAGTAATACCTATCATATTACAAAAGTAGATATTAAATGAATTTCATAGTGGGCATTCAGGAATTTCAAGGATGAGAAGCTATGTATACTGAACCAAAATGGGTCAAGACATTGAAAAATTAGTAAAAGCCTGCAGAGGTTGTGCTCTGGCAGCAAAATTACCTACCTCAAAATTACAACCATAGCCAATGACAGAATGGTCAAGAATGCACATAGATTTTGCAGTTCCAAACAACAGATCACATTATCTTTCATGGATAGCTTTACTAAGTGATCTGAATTGTAAGGGCAAAAACCCAACTTCCATGGGACAGTGAATTTTTTTACACAAACTGTTTGCAAAATATGGCATTCTGGGTGCCATAGTCTCAGATAATGGTACACAATTCACTGCTTATGAATTTAGAGAATTTTGTAAAATGTTCTCGATTGAACATATTACTACCCACCATATTATCAAAGGTCAAACGGACAAGCTGAACAGTTTTTGGATACTTTTAAGAGAGCTTTGAAAAAAGCAAGTAATGAAAAAGTGAGCAAAGAAGCATTACAAAAATTCTTGAGAGTATACTGGATAACGCAGAATCCCAATACACCAACAGGATTGATGTTCATAAGAAAAATTAAATCAGTGTTCTACAAGTTGTTACCAGATCAAAAAAGAATAAGAACAGGAAGCAAAAAGGACACCAAATTTTTCAAAATTGGTGAAAAAGTGTTTTTCAGAGTATATAAAAATGAAAAAGAAATGAGGGAAGATGATGTAATAAGGTCACAAATTAGAAAAATAATATATATGGTAAAAGAAAAAAATGGGAACACAAAAGGCATTGGAATCAGTTAAAGAAAAGGTTTACTGAAGAAAGACCTGCAAAAGGAAGAACCTATGCAAGTACTGTATGATATTTTTGAGATACCAACACCCCAAGAATTCATGAGATTGTCAGAAAAAGGTGACATATGGAAAGGTGACCCAGGACGAAAGAAATACAAAGTTCAGTATGTGGCGAAATAGAAAAGAAATAAAATATTTACTAGTGAAAAAATAATAAATTTCAAAAAGGGGGACGTAGGATGAGTCAGGAGAAGTCTGTTGGAGTCAGTTGGGAAGAATTCTAATGATGTCATGGCAAGTAGCCTAAGCAAGACATAATATTATAACCATTATGATTAAGTTATAACAAACTCAAAACTAATGTTATATACAAATAACAAATATAACATAAAAGGCTGATTACATTTAAGCCCACCAACCATTTCCTTTTGTTTACAGAGAGATGGTTGGTAGAACTTTATGTATACTGATTCCAAAACCTCCAGGTGATAATCAGTATTTGATTATTCATATATACATACACACATACTGGGTCGTCCTGAAGAAAGGGGTATGATGTTTTGAAAGATCCAAAATCACAATGATCCTCAGTTAAAAACATCACTAATAATGTTTATCAAAGAGAAGAGATCTATTTCACAAAATATATATAGTAAAGGTAAAAAATCCATTGGTATATAGTCCAAGTGGATCCTAGTAATATAAAATATTAAAACTGAACCACAAAAAGAGCTTGATGTATTTGTTAATACAGAGCAATATAATAAATAAACAAATAAATCCAAAATTACCTCATATGGAGAATTGCCTATTTCGGCAGACTATGATATCGGTCATCTATCTTATCAATCCTGGTATGGAATGAGTTCATGTCTATAAAGTTAAATGAAGTAGAAGAGTGGAAAATATCTGTCTTAAAGAGAAGGAATTTTATTAAAAAACCCAAGTATTAACCTTATGACATCAATTTGGGGTTATATGAAAAAAAATGAATTTTTAATTTAAAATTAAAGGAGAAATAAAAAAAATGAATCTAAAAATAAATTTAAAATATTTAGATAAAAGGATGTAAGGGATTAACAGAGTTAGGGAGATATTCAAATAGGGGAAGGTTTATAAATTATAATCAATATAGTATAAAAAGTTGCATGAGTGGTGGGGAATTCAATATGGAAATTAGAATTGGTTTTTGATTTTACTGTTACTTAAAGAGTTAGAGTGGAGTGATTTTGGGTAGCTAATTAACATGAAACTATATCATGGAAATATGGTAGCTAATTAAGGTAAAACTATATTATGGAAATTTGAATTTGTTTTTATGTCTTCATTTTAACACTGATTCATTCTTCTAATTCAATAGTTGGATTTGATTATTGTATTATATCTTAATTTTTTATTTTAAACATAAATAACATCTATATCTAAGACTATTAGGAGTTCCTGCAGAACCTATAATTTTCCAAATTATTAGTGAGCTCAAACCTTCATCCTTCAATTCCCAAATTTTTTTTTTGAAAGAGCTGTTTGGTGTTTTAGTTTAGGGTTAGAAAATGAGTGTTTATGGATATAAAATTTTTGTTTCCACTCCCCTGCAAAAATTCCAATGTAAACATTATTATTTTCCATATTTTCTTTGGGGAAAATGGTTGCTTGATATATAACCCTGGTAGATTTGCATTTGCCCTCTACTGGACAATTCTCTTTAGATCTACACCTGCAGGAGGGTTCGATATCAGGTTTGTTGTTGGTCCCATAGAAATTTCTTAAAATTTGGTTATTGTGTGAGTTAATAATTTTATACATGTTGTTGGTACAAGAGTAGTTAATCTTAATCATTTTACTCACTTAGAGGGTTATTTTTTTGAAAATGCTTATTTATTAACTTTAGAAAATACTGTCCAATGTTAATATTTGACAGTTTGCAGAAGGAGGAGGTTAAACCATATAGTTTTTCTATGTTTCATATATATATATATATATATATATATATATATATATATATATATATATATATATAAATTTTACAAAATTTGTGGGTGGCTTCATCACACCAAAAACAAGGACAAAAGTCCATATAAACATACGTCTGCAAATCCATCAGGTTTTTTTTTCTTAGTTATTAAGTTTAAAGAAATTTTATGGTAGATAGTGCTGTGTTGCCATGTAGATTAGGTTACATTTGTCATTCAGATGTGATTTTTAAATATGGCCCCATGAATGGTAATGTACATGAGGCTGCACGGCTATATCAAATTGCTTTTCTAGACCAAACACAGCCAAGTCATCCAACCTTTGCTGTTGTTTATCATTGGATTTCTGAGACAGAATCCATGGCATCACAAACTATGGATTGAGGAAGACCAAGATCCACTCATATACCTGACCATGAAGAACACATTCTACAGGCTGCCGGAGATGACCCAAGTATCAGCACCTGTCAAGTGGCCCTAGCATGTTGTGTATTTCATAGTACCACATAGAGGGTACTTCAAGAGCAGCTCCTCTATCCGTATCATTTGCAATGTGTGCCCTCTGATCACTTAACATGAGAGAACTTTTGCCAATGGTTTATTGCACAAACTGCCGATCCATTGTTTGACTCTTCAGTCTTGTTTATAGTTGAGGCAACATTTGGAAGAGATGAAATAACAAATTTACATAACCAACCTTTGCAGGCAGATTGGAATCCCCATGGTACAATACAGGCTAGACATCAGCATCAATTTATGATTAATGTGTGGGCTGGAATTGTAGGTGACTGTCTGGTAGGTCCATATGTTCTCTTGGCACATCTTAGAGGAGCTGTCTACAATGACTTTATTTCAAACATACAGTGTAACCCGGATATAAGAGACCTGGATATAAGAGAAACCCGGATGTAAGAGATTTTATTTGGTCCCAAATTAGAGCCTGTGTTAATGTAAACAAAATAGACCAAACCCGGATATAAGAGAAACCCGGATATAAGAGGCTTCTTCTCTGGTCCCGACAACTCTCTTATATCCGGGTTACACTGTACTTCTAAACTTGCTAGAGGATGTACCCCAGCTAATACAAAGACATACGTAATTCATGCATGATGAGCACATTTTAGTCACACTGTGATGCATTGGCTGACATCTACCATGAAAGATGGATAGATAGGGGAGGACCAGTTCCATGCACCTTCTGCCAACCTCAATCCTCTGTAGGGCCACTTAAAACGATTAGTTTATGCAGCAGACATTAATAATGTAGAGACACCTTATCAAAGTATCATGGGGACATGCAAAACTATTTAAATCCATGTGGGAGTATTTGAAAGGGTCTGCCAGTCAATGATCCAACGAGTGTATGTGTGTGTGTAGAAGCAAGCAGAGGAACATTTTAAGCATTTGTTATGAATTGCTGTGCTGAGGTACAATGGTGGCCTTTTGGACATATGTTTATATGGATATATTATCTTTTTTTGATGTTGGAAACCTGCTCCCAAAGTTTGTAAAGGTATTTTTGATATACCCTGTGTGTGTATGTATATATATATATATATATATATATATATATATATAGTTTTAAGCTGTGCTATATTTATGGGATAAAGTGCTCAATATCAGAGACAGCATATGTAAATATAAAAGTGAACATAGATGTCAACACTCAGAGACAACAGGCTGTTTCATGCTGGATGCAATCGTCAGGTGGCCTGACGAACAGCTTGTCAGCTCTTAGTGTTGACTTTAATGTCCACTTTTATCTCTCTCTCTCTCTCTCTCTCTCTCTCTCTCTCTCTCTCTCTCTCTCTCTGAAAGATAAAAGTGGACATTGAAGTCAACACTAAGAGGTGACAAGCTGTTTGTCAGGCCATATATATATATATATATATAGGGAGACTCAATTCATTTCCCAAAAAAACTGATCTAATGAAAAAAACGAGATAAATTTTGGAGTTTTTTTGTTTTTTTTTTTTTTGTTTTTTTCCAAAATTCAAGATTTCATCTTGGTAAGACTTGTGTTGGTTTTCATTTTGTACATCAGCAAAAATTTAATTATTTGCTGAAACAAAATACATCTTTTGGGATATTTGTTTTGTAGAGAATTTACTGGCATCTTCACCCTAATTGCATTGCCAGATGATCAAGTTTCATTGGCTGATGATTAAGTTTCAGAAAATTAAAAATGCAAAAAACATCTACATTTATTCATAAGATACTAGTAGTTCTATGTTATTAATCTAGAATCTACCAATTCACAGCAAACAGTGTCATTGTGAAATTATTGGGTTAATTAAATAATGATTGAGAATGTCTTAAATTGAAATTAAGATGTGAAAATTAATGAACACTTAATCCTGCTGTGTATGATACTATCCATTTTCTTAACTAATTTATGGTTTAATCAAGTGTTTAAGTGATTAATCTTTTTCAGATGTTTTTTTCTGTAAAGAATAATAATGATTGCAATTGAGGAAGTGTTTCAAATTTCTTTTCTCTGCTTTCTTTCAAGCAAAATTTGTCATGTTCTATTTCCTTTTAGATGAACTACACACGTATTCAATGGAGTAAAACCTTCAACTGTTCCACAAAAAGACCAAGTGATACAGCCTTAATCAGTAGCATTGTGATTGGTAGTGTAGCTGTACCAATCATATACTATGTCAGTGCATATGTCACTTCAAAAGGAGTAGCAGTAATTCGTGGTAAGTATTTGCTTTCTTGTAATACTTTAATTTCAAAATCCATTTTGGATTGCAAGTGTCTTCCAGTTCATTAATTATTTTATTACTTTATAGTTTTAAAGAAAACAAACTCTTAATCTTTGCATTATCATTTATGAGATTGATGTAAATGTTCTGTCATCAATGTTAGAGAAATCTTAAGTGTCTTTAAGCATTTATTTCAGTCTTTACTGTTTATGCAATCAATCAAATGTTGTATATCATTTACAAAATTTAACCCTTTGAAGCCTAACTTCCAGATGAGTTTGATATATGCAGTTTCACACGGCAGCATGCATACTGACTGCTCAGGTCCAAAGAGATAGTCACAATTAATAGAAATGGTTCTCATGCAGGTTTCCAAAAGAAGAGGTGTGAGGCAAGATTCAGGACAACCTTCAACCAAAATGGAACCTGTTGTCAGAGGGAGGGGCATTTTTCTCTGAGATTCAAAGGGAAGCTAAGAAAAATACTTTCATAACTGAATGCTATGAATCTATATAAAGAAAAAAAAATTATTCAAAATAGCTGCAAGCATTTGCATCAACCTTATGTAGATGGTATCTGATTAATGCTTTCACTATTGCATTGTTATAGCATTTTGGGAGAAAAATAGAAAATTGCAATTTACTGGAAATCAATGACTATAAATATATACTGACAGTGATTTCACATAAGCACCAATATTTTGTTTTTGGTCAGATACTCAAAGCTGAATGACATCCCCAATATGATAAAAATGTGTCCAAAAACTAGTCTTGTATCCTATTACAGGCCTACACCAGTTTTCCAAGGAGATAAGGAAATTAAATATGAGGTGGTTTTACCCAACCCTACAAATTGCCACAAAGCATCAACCTAAAATCTTTAGTCATGTTCTTAAATAGCTTTCTCAGATCAAGACTTTTATACGGATGTCATGCATGGGGGGTAAACTCGTTCAAAATTATCTAAACTGTTAGCTATATACAACTGCTTTCTCAGACCAATGGTTAAAAGTAGCTTTGAATGAATGAAGCCTGTAGCACTCAGTAAGGATCATTCTTTTTTGAACCTTGTGGACTGGTGCTACAGAATCACAACGAAAGAACTGTACTAAATAACAGAAATCACATCATGTGAAGACTTTCAACAACACCAACAACTAAAATGGATAGCACATGTGACAGAAAATAATGGCATAATTAAGCTGTTGACGTTACATATTACATCTAACAAAAGTTTAGGAAGAAAACCCCTGTCAATACTGGAAAGAGTGATAACAGCTCATGGACTTGAGAAACCTATTTTCCTGAAAAATTGCTTTAAGAGAAAGATTATATAAATTTCAATCTTATAAAGAAACGGTTAATATTAAAATTACCATTAACTACTACCCATTAACTGAGGTGGTTGTTGCTGGAGTGGCCTTAGAGGTAGTTGCTTACTTCTGTTACCTGGGTGGCACATTGTCCTTATGCGGCAGATGTGAGCTGGCCAACATTACATGTTGCCAGGTTACATGGAAGAAATTTCACCAGCTGCTGTTTATCTTTATGGCCCGCTGACTCTCAGCTAAGACCAGAAATCATGTGTACAACACCTGCATTTAAAGCACCATACTGTCTGACAGTGGAATTACCCGCTTGTGGCGGAATGACAGGACGTTGATGTGATGGGTGTTGGACATGTACACTGAGAACAGGGTCAGACTTGCTTCTTGAAGCTACACTACACACAAACCACCAATCTGCCACTGGGTGGCATGCCACTGGGTGGCATGCCACTAGCATCTACCACTGGTGGTCTGCTGTTGGACTGCCAGCATGTTCCTCTTGGCAATGTTACCACTGACATTGCTATCGGCAGGCTAGCAGCTTTCATGTAGGGTATATCTTGATAACACTATGTTGGGCTTGCCATGTCGAATGCAGCGCAAAGCCTGTCAAAGAGGTCCATGAAGTGACGGTTGAGGGCAGCATGGGAAGAGGATGACCCAAGATGATTTGGGAGGATGTCATTCAGATAGACAAGCAGGACCCACTTTGATTTGTGTGAAATTAATCCTGGTCCTGCCTCAACAAAAAAAAATATGGCTGTAAAGATGACTATCATCATGATGACTATTAATAAGCACTATTTAGTTCATAACACAAAACATATTTCATAGTATCTTGCAAACATATTGATATGTATTGACATCAGGCAATGTCAGTTTGGTTAGTATGTCCACAGCAGTAGAAGGATTAATGTGTATGCTTAGTCATTTTTTTTTTTCTTCTATAGATTATTGCAATCCTATTGTTCAAAGAAACATTTAGATTTTTAATACATTGTTACTTTTGCAAATATTTGTAATTTCTTTATTTCTAGTTGCTAGCACTTGTCAACCAAAGTACTTTCCAAAATATATTTTGCCTTAACAATTACCAAAATCCTATGTGTATAAGACACGGGTTTTTACACCCAAAATTTTGTCCAAAAGTCTGCTGCATCTTAGACTTTAGAACTCGATTCTGTTTTTTCCAGGACTCGGAATGGCAAAATCTGGCCAAATTAGATTTATTTATTTACCAGAGCGATAATATCTATCTAATAGTGTATTGCAACAAATGGTAGTAAATTTTTCATAAGGTTTCTCTGTATCCCATACGGTTTTGTACTTTTTCCAGATTTCAGTGAGTCTAGACAACTACATCAATTTGGAAATCATTATTCAAAGGTTAAAAATATTCTTTAATTTACAACAAAAAAATACAAAATGATACATAATTTCAAAATAAAAATCATCAATTTTTTTAGCAAAAGGCAATTGTTGGCCATTTCACAATAAACACCTTTTAGCATGATTTACAAACCAACAATCACAAAAGTAAACAAAATGTAAGTTTTGGTCATTTTCATTGCTCTAAAATCAGGTGCATTTTATACATAAAAATAAGATTTTTTTTTTTTTTTTTCTTTTTTCCCTGGAGCGTTTCTGCTTCTTAACTGTGTCTTATATTCCCTAGCAATGTATACACAAATGATTACAATAATTACTATAGTGATGCGTTTGTTATGTATTAGTATTTAGAGATTGTAAATATTTTGTCTGTTTTGCAGGAAAATTGGTAAGACATTACCATACACGATCAAGGTTAACCCAAAGTCAAAGTTCATATGGATCTGTTGATGAAATTCGAGGTATAAATTCTCCTACAGTTTCCTCCTCCTCTTAAACATGAATATATTTTTGTATAATAACATATTTTGTATATTAATGAATAAATACGTTTTATAAAAAAACAAACTGGCTTCCCTACCTGCTTTTTATTCTTATCACTTCATTTACCCATTTTATCCATTTTAAACATTTTTTTTTCTCTTTGCCTTTTTAACCTGTTTCTCCTGTTTTATGTTAACCTTTTTTCTTTTTTTTTGCTTTCTAAAATACAATTTTTTTTTTTTTAATTTTCTTTCTGAAAACATATATTTTTATTTTTTTATTACAGTACTGTGCAAAGATCTTAGGCCATTTTAAATTATTGCAAATTTTTAATAATTGTGATTTTATAAGTGGTTAACTTTGGCCATATTGAAGTCATTTTCATATCTAATTATCATATACTAAAAGCAAGGGCTCTGAAGGAGTGTGGAAGATGCAAAACAGATCTCAAAAATAGCCATGCCAAAGATTTCTGCCACTGCATATAAATAAACCAAGCCAGATGCTGTGTTTTAAATAGAAAAATCTCTAATGAAAATTTATTATATAATGATTTCAAGAAGTTAATATACATTGTTAATATTTTGTGTGGCTTCCTGTAACTTGAATAATTGCATCAGTGCACCTGGCATGGGATGTGTACAAATCCTTCCCCATCTTCAAAGGTACTAGATACTATTTGCTGTGGTTGAGCTCCACCAATTCATGACCACATGAGTTCTGATAAATTCTACCCATTTGTTCTCTCAGCATTTGATCCAGGATTTAAGTCCAGGGCTCTAGTCTGGCCAGTCATTCAATACAGTAACACATTGATCAATCTTTCTTGAGTTGCATGTAATCTGTGATATGGAGCTAAAACATCTCACATTCATCCAAGTCTAGTATCAAATGTTCCTTCAACAACAGGATATATTTGCCACTATTCAAGCTATCATTGATTTTTTAACCAATTTTCTTGAACCATTGTTTTTATGCAGCCCGAAAGCATCACTCTTACCACCAAAAATGTAATGTGGGTTATTTTTGTTTCCTGTTGGCCTTCTGACAAATCCATGCTTATTAGAATGCAGTTCTATTTTCATTTCATTGTTGGATGTGATCTTATTCAAAGCATCTGCATTCTACAGTTCATACCACTTTGACCAACTTACTGTTGAAAATATATTCTTATTCATTCAGATTTTTTATATTTGCATTATAATACGATATTTTTTTTCCTTTTCAGTAAACTTTGTATTTTAACGTCTTTTCTTTTTTTTTTTTTTTTTCTTAATCTGTTCACAAATCAGCTACTTAGAAACTCCTGTCATTGAAAGAAAATCTCTGTTTCTTCTAAACTAAAACTTTAAACTATGATAGTTTAAGAGAATTTTTTGTCCATGCCTTGTTGATATTCTTTCTACACTTCTACATAAAATCTTCATTCTTACAGACTATCCTCTATCAGACTGGATACAATGAATCGATCAGTTAGTGTGAAAAATCTTCATTGGTCTCATTACTGAAAAGAAATATCTGACCTATTATATCTGCATATTCAAATTTCCTTTGGAGCTTGAAATTTGTTAGCCTGTTACTGTAGCAGTACCTTTATGATAATGGTGGACTGGTCAAAGATGTTAATGAAGCCAGGGGTGGGGATAAAAAGGCTAAAAATCAATACCATAATAACTGGCAAAAGTATATTTAAAATCTTGTCATTTTTTGATATCATTCATAAACTTTGTCGCCCCAATACAAAAAAAAAAGTTTCTGTAACAGCGTTTTTTGAAAGCATAACCAATGTTGACAGAAAATTGTGAGGAAGATAAAAATTAAATAGCAAGAGATTTGTTGTTTGTTTTGTTTTTGTTGTTTTTTCCTTCAGCCATTTTTATTTACTTTGGTCATATGTATTGATTATTGTTCAGATTTTGACCACTACTTCAAAATTCTCTTTTTTAGAAGTAAATAAATAAATCCCAAAACAAGTAACTGATCTCCTATGGTAGTAAAAGAAATAGTACTTACTTGTTTTAATTTTTTTTATTAGAAATGAATTCTCAAACCAATTTATCCCTTACTTTAAAAATAATTCAACTGATAAAGGAATAGCCTTTTTAATTTTCATAGAAGTGCAGCAATATAAGTTGACCAATACTTGTTGGTTGTCCTATAAGAATATGTCTAAGTAGATTTGGTTTAAAATATTACATTTATATTTTGTTGATTTTAGTATCCTTTTCTTTACTTTTTTCACTAATGTTCTCCCAATACAAACCCAAGAGCCACTCAAAGTAGAGGGTTACTGCATGGTATTGTATAAACATAAAAGACAAGAAATACAGTCCATGAGGTTATGTAAGAAAGATAACGGTTAACCATAGACTTTGAAGAAGTTAAGATTGTAGTGATCGGAAAAAACTTCTGGCCAGGAGTCTATTCCACAAAGTAGCAGTCCTTGAGTAGAAGCTGTCCGAGTGGAACTTACTCCCAACTAATGGAATATGAAGAGAAAGCAGATGATTCATCCTTGCGTATGTGGGCATGTCGGGTTCCAGCTGCAAAGTTCAGGGCTGGTGGAATGAAGGAATGTAGCTCGTCAGAACACTTGCCCTGGAAATAGTGATAGATTAGCGAGAGGCTTTTAACATTTCATCGGGGGGGGGGGGGGCTTGTAGGGTGGAAAATCATTTCACCAAACAGAAAACGCTACTATCATGGAAAACTATTTGAGCCGTTATAATCCTGTTTATTTAATTATTATTTATTTAAATTTAGAAAAGCAATTTGTCAGGCAATGAATGGAACACGTCATGTGTCTCCCCCTCCACCAGATCATGCCAAAATAGAATTTGAATTCAGTGTCTTTCAGACAAACCAGGGCACAGTTGACCTGCTGCCTAACTGCCGAGTGCAGACACACGTGATCAGCTCAGCTAGGATGTATGCATGAGAAAGTCATATGACAGATATTTTGTTACCTACGTTAGTTAAGTGTTACTTCTCCACATCGATTAGCATTATTAATTTTCTTAGGTCAGTGAACAAAGATTCCAAGTGGACATGGACAGGACCAATTTCCATTTGTTACCACTTTCAAAGTTTTATTTAACCTAAAATAAAGAACTTTACAAAGAAATGCCTTTGTTTTGGCCACTAAAAAAATTACAGAAAAAATACATTTTTACATAAAAATATTCGTTTTTAATCCAATAATCTTTACTGAAAAAAAATTGACATTACAAGCCATAATGTTTAAGTCACGTGAGGATTTTTTTTCATAAATTGAGGAAAAAAAAATAAAAATAATGAACATAAACAGAAATAAAATACTTAAAAATTGCTTAAGATATTAAGAAAATGAAAGTTTGTATTTGCGCATAAGTGAATATAATAAACCCAACGGGAATTCGAACTCGGCTCTCCGATTAACAATTTCGAGCGATTATCCGTTACACCGCCCACACATCTCAAATTAATAGCATTTGTGTATATCTAGTATTCCCAAACGGAAAGTGGTATATCCATCTCGGTAGCGACCAGGCTCGACGTTGCTTAACTTCGGTGCGCGTACTGGGACTGATATTTCAATATTATATGACCATAAGCCTGCATTTTGATTTAATTTTTCATGGGACGTATGTTTGGGCAAATGTGAATATTAGTGGCCAAATTATTTTGAGATTCCATTAATTTCAAGAAATATGTAGGTGTGATTGATTTAATAAAAAATAATGCTAAAGAAAAAAACGCGTATTCAAATTTTATAAAATTTCCTTTTCATAGATGAATAACTATCAAATATTTTATTGAAATCTAATTGGTAGATTTTTAAAATCAAGATTTAGCTTCAAAAAACTACAATCCAATGATTCTTTAAAGACAAATGTCACTAAATTTATACATTGGATATAAATAATTTTTACCTAACATTATTTTTTTTCGAACAACAGAGTGTTACGTTAAAATGAACACATTAAAAGTTTCAAGCCTTTTTTTTTTATCGACACATGTCGCCTTGTTTTCATAACTTCATGTCAGTGCCTTATTCCACGCTTGACTCTGCCATTTAAATAATGAATATCAGTTGAGTTTATTCAAGGACAAAATTCTAAATATTTCAACATTGGATGTAATGTCATATCGAATGATAAGACTAGTGGGCTTTAAATTTGAATAATAACAATATATTTCTATTCTAATAATCGAAATATCAGAAATTATTACGATACCTCATATCAGTGGACAACGTGAGACAACAGACGCAATGAGGCGCTCTCGTGGAGTCGGGCATCAGTCATTCTGATGGGAGGCAGAGAGGGTTCTCTGTGAGGATTTCGTTTTGGAGGCATTGAAGTTTACAAGCCATTTCCTGTCCCAGTCAACCACGGATTGGAGGTCCTTAAATTCATAGTCAATAGCTTCATCTGCCGCAAAGAAAGTTGGTTCTCTGTGTCGCACCAGAAAGTTTATCTCGTCTGAGTCCATCCTTCAAATCAACCACCCGTCCTTGCATGGAATATTGCTGTCATATATGTTATGGTGCCTCCACTATAAGTCTTGAGGTCCTCGACAAAATCCAGAGACAGATATGCAATGTGATAGGTCCAGATCTGGCATCCAGTCTACAGCCGTTTTCTCATAGACGTGCCGTGGCTTCCCTCTGTCATTCTATAAATATTTTCACGGCAACTATTCCGACGAGTTGCTTTCTCTGGCTCCCAGACTGCATAAATTTAAGCGAGCTACTAGGTCGGCATTTCGGTCCCACCCTTTCACTGTCGAAACGAGTAAATGTAACCGTTTCTTCTACTCAAACAGTTTCTTCTCTCGCACTTCCCCCTCTATGGAATTCTCTTTCTCTTACTTGCTTCCCTGATGACTATAATCTTCAAATATTCAAGTGTAATGTCAATCGACATCTTCTGATACATTTATCTTCTTCCTTGTCCTTCTCTTTATTCTCTCCCCAAATACACCTCTTTACTCTTGTCCTCTACCCTCTGTAACCCCTTGCGTGCCAGTGGCACTCCCGCCTTGCTTGAGATGAAATGCTTTAAAAAAATACTAACGGTGAATACCCGGCGTTGCTCGGGGAAAATGACTTAAAAATATTACAAAACAGGGAAAATATGTTCTATAATAAATTTTCTTGGCTTCCACAATATAACACAAAAGTAGGTAGGCAGCTATTTACATTATATAAAAATAACTATTACTCAAAAAAGGGTTCTTCCTGATGTACACAATATTAGTGATTTTCCCACTGGGAGTCAGGTTAAATAGTTGTTTGGAAGCTCAACCCTCAACATCAAGTGTTCCAAGAAATAGGACTCAAACCTTTCCGAAACAGAAACTATGATCGGTAATTGGAATGAAAGCAACGATGGCACCTACCCTGAATCCATTTTTAAAATTCATGATGTGGATTTAGTAAATACCAAATATTTCAAAAACTTTGGTATGTGGTTCAGTTATAACGAATTTAACATAGCAGATAAGGAAGATGCACATAGAATAAGTTGTACTAAAGATAGTTTCACCCAATACTGCAAAGTGCTACAAAACCAAAACATTAACTTGAAAACTCAAGTACTGTTCTTAAATGAGCTTCGTCATATCGGGCCTTTCATATGGATGCTATGCTTGCCGACAAACCCGTTCAGAAATAACTAAACTGCCAGCTGTATACAATCGCTTTCTAAGACCAATGGTTAAAAATGGCTTTGAGCGAGTGAAGCCTATGGGTTTTTGTGGACTGGAGCTACAGAACCACAAAGAACTGTACCAAATAACAGAAACTACATCACTTGGGGACTTTTGACAATGGCAACAACGAAAACGGATATCACATGCAACACGAAGAGAAAATAATAATATAATCAAGATGTTGGCACTCCACATTACTTCAAATAAAATGTTAGAAAGGAAGTTCTTCTTCATCAATACTGGAAAGGGCGATAACATTTGAAAAACTTATTTTCCTGAAAAATTGTTTTAAGAGAAAGATTTTATAAATTTCAACTGGCAGTGGCACTGGCTGCTCGGTCAATGAATGATTCAGGTTGCTTTATAAAGAATCAGCTAATATTACTATAGCAGAGTTGTCAACTCTCCCGGCACCAACGCGAAAATCACGTTTTTTAGCTCTTTATTCCGGTCTCCCTGTTCAAAATTAACTGTTGGTCTTCCGCCGTGTCTGTTAGTGTATACAAGATTCTCTTCGTAAATAAATTATTGAACTTTCTCTGTTATAAGAATTGCTTAATGAAAATACTCTCCGTTTCAAGCAGTGATTTGGTTAAATTATTGAGAAGATAACATTTTTCGATAATAATGAATCAGAGTTTGTTTACAAGTAAACCATTCACCTTGGGTTAATGTTCGTCCAAAATCATCCCTCTGTTGGAAGTAACTGATTTTAATTCGAAGAATGATATTTTAGAGTTAACATTTTGGGGGTTTTTTGGTTGTTTTTT